TTTCGGCATTATGGAACTAACACTAGAAAGACTAAAATAATTATATTGCCCCAAAGCAGTCAAAATGACTGCATTGTGAAAGTATAACTAATGTATAAAGAAATTTGTTTAAAATTAATTTTTAATATTATTTTCAGTTATATAACAAGTTATTAATAAATATTAACAACAAAATTATATGTTGTACCAAAAGTCACTAAATTCTAAGAAATTGTGCCATCATTGTTTTTCTAATTGAAATTAAAAAGCAGTCAAAATGACTTCCTAGGGCAATCTAGTGTTAATGGAACCAATTAAAAAAAATTTCGTACATAAACTACTTCGTCTTAAGATAATTCCACAGCAAATATTATTTAATCTATTAATGAGAGAAAAATTTTGAATAGTAAAGTATAAAATTTTTTACAATTAAATAAATGTAAATTTAAATGACAAAATCCAAAATTTATAGAGACTTGGCAGAAAAATTTCTGAGAAATAAGAACCTAAAAATAAAACTTCTTTTAAATTTTATTACTCAGAAACTATTCGACCGATTTCGATCAATTTTCGTAATTACGACACCTGTCCGCAGCAACCACAGTGCAAACGAAAAATATTCTCAGTGCTAGACGGATTATGGGTTAATGTCAACTAGCCGTCAGGCTAATCGTGGAAAGTTTTCGTGGTTTTCCTTCGCGTGTAACGTAAATTTGGGTTACTTCCATCAAAAAGTTCTCCAAATTTCTCCCAATATTTGATCCAGGAGTTCTCTCGTCTTTTGGATTGGGTTCAAAATTACAAGGCTACGGAGATGAACATTAGTAGTCTTATACTCAAAATTGGTTCGGCTGTTCAACGACGGTTATAAAATACAAAACAAAATTTCGCAATTAAAATTATTGTTATTTGAAACTGCACAGTCTATAACTCAGAACTTTTACAACCAATACTAAAAAAATAATAAAGAGAAAAATAAAGAAAATTATTAAAAATTATTTTTAATATGAAATTAACTTTGGAATAAAGTATTTTGCTAAAAATTACTCGCTTTCCTTAACTTTCTGATATGCAACGAAATGGCATTAAGGAGCCCTAACTTTCTGCTGTTCTCTTTTTATTTTCAAGATTACGATTACGGCTGCCTTCTTTATTTTGAGGGGGAAATTCTGAATTCTTCAAAAAAAATAATAATAATTATATTTATTCAGAGAAAGTAAATATTTTGTACATCCCATCTCCAAAATTACAATATCATCTGCATATTTAATGATTTAAGATTGTTCCCTCAAACCATTAAGATTAAGAGATAGAATGCGAAAATCCAGTGATATTTATTTTGATCAATCCCAGGGATGTTTATTTTGATTACTGTAAAAATTGTAATCACAGGAAAATAAATCATCCTAGACTTACGGTATCGAGTGCTTCAGAAACATGTTTTGTGAAACCCAGTGATAGCACCAATGTGCAAAAGTTCAAGAAAGAATTTTAAATATNAAAATTATAATAATAATTATATTTATTCAGAGAAAGTAAATATTTCTTACATCCCATATCCAAAATTACAATATCATCTGCATATTTAATGATTTAAGATTGTTCCCTCAAACCATTAAGAGATAGAATGCGAAAATCCAGTGATATTTATTTTGATCAATCCCAGGGATGTTTATTTTGATTACTGTAAAAATTGTAATCACAGGAAAATAAATCATCCTAGACTTACGGTATCGAGTGCTTCAGAAACATGTTTTGTGAAACCCAGTGATAGCACCAATGTGCACAAGTTCAAGAAAGAATTTTAAATATTTCGCTCTGATACACAAAGAAATAATATTTTGCCCTATTAATGCTGAGAATGAATAAAGGGAACATCACACATTTATTGTTGACCCGAAAATACCATGTCACCACTCTTACAAATTTCCAGCAATTTTACGGTTCTTTCTAATCTATTTTTTTAAGTTATTACATGTATTGTTTTAAAATTCTTAACCAATTTCCAAAACAATCAGAAAAATATTTACAAATTTAAAAAAACTATATATATAAACATTTTTCAGCTTTCAAATAGAGGTAAGTAGCTTTGTCTCCGAGCAACTGTCCCGCAAGTTTGGCTAAGTTGAAATCAAATACTTGAAGGGCTTGGGGCAATCCACTTTTTCAAATTATTTCGAGCATTTTAAATGAGAAACAGTTTAATTTAAATCAAGAAAGTGAGATGTTTATGAGCATTGTGCTGTTGTCTTGAGAAAATTCTGAAAGTTTAAGAAGTACCAATCTAACAAAAGTAAGGAACAGCTTGGTGTAGAAAAGTCACCATTCTACAAAGTGACGCATAGTACTATATTGCTTTAAGTTGTTCAGGAATTTAATTTAAAGTAAATATTATAATAAAATTTGCAACAAATTAAACTTTTGATTAATAAGGGTTTCAAGATCAATGGCATTCAACCCAGATTCCAAAATGTGAATGCAATGGCTTAATATGTTTAGATGTGAATTGCAATTTACAAACATATTTCAAAGAAAAGAGACAAATATAAAATAGACAAGAAACAATTATATGTGAATAGCATTTATTTAATAAATAAACTTTATGCATTTTTACATTTTTTTTAAATTTGATTTATTTATAAGGATCTTAAGACTATTATATACAGGATTTCAAGAATCCAAATGAGTTTGCATTTTTACAGTATACAAATATTTTATAAATAAGGAATAAGTTAAATTATATAGATTGTATTCAAATTGAATACTCCAAAGTTACTTACAATAAATGTATAGATTAAAATACATAAGATTGATATTATAATAAATATAAATATGTCACAAAACAGCATGCATAAATATACACTTGTTTTTATTACACTTTAAAAATAAATAGCAGTGTTCTCCGTAAGTGCAAAGTGCAGTCCGCTCTGTCTGATCCCTATAAATTAATCCTTTTTGTAAAAATAAGCCACCATCCTTTAAAAACAAGGATTTTTTATTCATATTCCATTTTGAAAAAATTTAATTCCCCGTTCAAATAATGATTATACACTCTTAAAATTATGTCTTTATAGGTTTAATTCTGATTTCTATTACAAATATTTACTTTGTTCGGATTATTCTCAACTCGTTAAATTTTAATAAGTATCCCTTTTATTAGGGGAGGACATTTTTAATTATTTTAAATTTTGAAACTGTTTTTTAAATAATACCTCTTTTCTTTTTAAAAAAAAATTGCCATTTGTATGTTTATTTACTCATAATTTTTAGTTTGAATTACAGAAAAAAGCCTTTAAGTTGTTTATTAATTAACTGAATTTTAACCTTTTATTTTAGTTCATACTTTTTCCAAAATAATTTATGCACAAAGATTTTCTTTTAGCGTGTCTTTAATTATTTTTATTAACTACAAATTTTTCTCTGATTCTTATAATGAGAGAAAATTATTTTTAGAAATATACACTGAAAATAGTATAAGAGGGTAATTTAAAAATTGTTGAGAATCAAATTCAGTTATATCATAATATTACACATTTTAATAAATTGTTACAGTGGTGAGTGCCCTTTCAAAACTCAAAGTGCCTTTTTCTGTGAGGAAGCACCCTGATCTTGTTTATTCCTAGGGAAAACTTTGAATTAAGATTGTGATAAAGTATAGATTTTATTACTGTAAGCACAACCTAGATAATTTGAACTTGTTTGATTCTAAATTGTGGATAGTTTGAATTTTTGAATAGTACCTAGAGCATACTTTTCCAAAAGGTGCTCCGAAGAAAGATGGAAGTGTTCCAAAAGTTAGGTCATTATTTTTTGTAGAAAAAATAATAACTTTTTTGAAGAAAAATTTTTTTCATGCGATTTTTCATAAAAATTGCTCACTGGGCCATTTTTTTAAGAAGAAAATTTTTTAAAAAACTGCGTCGTCTTTTAAAGAAAATTGTTTCTGTAACAGCCAGTCCAACAGCCAATTGTGGGCCAGGGTGTTATGGAGGTTATAAATTCCACAATTCAGTGACTAATAACACGAAAAAGAGGAACAATTACTCCTTAATTCTTTCCACTACCAATTAGGAATTTACAGATAGTCTAAAAGCTCTTCACATTTGAGAAAAATACTTGGCCATATCTCTTTGGCTGGAGAATCTACTTCAAGCAGGCCTTTCCAACATCAATGGTTTCATTGGATACAATAAGGATGAGGAATGTTACAGCTGGAAGGTTTATGTGAACAAGCTTTTCAAAAATATAATCGAAAAACAAAATGAATTAAACTTTATTGCTATGATTCAAAGCATAATGAATTTTTGAGATTTAATAACATATTTGTTTATTTATTCTTTTACTTAATTTTTGTATAGATCTCTATATTTAAGTCTGATTTTTTGGATCTAGAATTTACATCAGTAAAGAACCTAGCTAAATTTCATAACCATATGTAGATTCAAATAAGTCAATTTTTAATTGGAGCATTTTTCCCCACTTCTTTTTACTGTAGCACTGTCACTCATTTAACTTCAATTGCAGATTTTTTTGGAAAACTATTTTTACTAAATGAAATGGATATTAAAATTTTTCAAACACTTTATCAAATTTTGCTGATTCTGAAAAACCATTATCAAATTCTAAGCTGTAATTTATATTCTTTGATATAAGAAAAAAAGTTTGAAAAAAAAGATAAAAGCCTTTGACAGACTGCACAATTCAATATGGCGAGCTAACTGCAGCCCAAGGGCTGGTCTTAGTAGCAGAATTTTTTAAATAAATCTTCAGAACTATCTTTATAAATTTAAATATATCTGTGACCCCAACGTAGTCAGAAAAGTATTGAAGTCAGAAAAGTATATTATTGTAAAAATTCTGCTAACTCTAACAAAGCAAAACTTGAAAAGTTATTTAAAAAGGTATATTGTTTCTATTTTTACAATATTGTGAGTCAAATCTAGAAAGTTCTATTGTTGAATCATATTCTATTGTTGATAGATAGGAGTCATATGCCCTGACTCATAGAGAATGCAATAAAAGCAATCAAAAACAATATTTTAAAAAAAATAAATAAATAAAGGAGAATAATTATGCTAGTACATAATTAACTTTTCCGTTTGAAAGAAAATATCTACAATTCAAATTTTTGAATATTCTCTCTGGTATACTAGACTTCAAATCATCTAAAAGTTTGACTGTATTAGCATACAAATAAATCAAAGCAACAATAATCACTTCATAATACTAAAGAGAAAATCATCATTTTGAAACACCACCAATAATAAATAAGAAAGGTTTTTCTTTTTTTTAAAAGTTGTACTTTAAGGTTTTTTTTTTTTTTTCAGTTTTTGTTTGATGCTTGAAATAGAAGTTTTACGTTATTAAATCTAGTAATAAAAATGAAGTGAAATTTATAGCACACTGTATACTTTTTATAAAATTATTTTTTAGAATTAGAATATTTGTCAGTCATAAGCTCAATAAATATATACTCAACAAAATTTAGCATACATGGGGCCATTTTTGATACATAGAACCAGTGGAACATGACACAAATTGATGAAGCCTTAAAACACGGAAAATATCTCACAAAAAGGTGAGAAAGTGGTTTGAATGCCAGAAAGTTAACAAACCTCTCCTTCTCTCTTTTAATGTAATTATGCAATTACAAATAGAAATATAATGTTTTATAACAAATTTTATTTGTAATGAAGAGTATTAAATGGCCAAATGAACTTTTGAACTTTTTTACGGATATGAAACTCACATGAAATATACATTGAGTAATTAGAATCTGATTGATGCAGTTTTAGTAATCTAGTACAGTGATTATAGTCTCTGATTTTCTGAAAATAATGAATTTAATATTATTTGTCAAATATATTTTAAGATTTATTTCTCTTGCAGATTTATTTTAAATGTAGAGATTTTTATCAAGTACAGAGTTAAATGTTATTAGGAACTATGAAGTGATTGTTTAAAAGTGAACAATCCAGCAAATGTTAACAATATGAAAGGTGGAGAGATTTGTAGCTTAGTGCACTGGCTTTCTGTAACAGATTTTTCAAAAAATAATAGTTATTAGAATTTATTATTTTTATTTATTAGAATTTTTTATTCTTTAGTTATTAGAATATTTTATTCATTAAGAAACTCAGAACAATTCTTATTTTTATATAATTCAACAGATCAAATTTATTACTAAAAGTAAAAATATTAGATATTTTTTTTTTTAATTTATCAGACTTAAATTCATTACTAAATTTTCCATTCCCTTTTATTATGTTCAATCATTATTAGATTTAAGTCTGTTAAAGACTTTTCTTTATCTTCTACTGAACTCACTTTATTCAATTGATCATCATATTTTTTTCATCATCTTCTGTTATACTTAATAGACTCTGTTATACTTTCATAACTTTCTGTTATACTTTATCATTAAATGTATTAGATCTTTAATTATCTTCAATTAAATTCATTGAATTTTACTTATCATCATCACATTTATTATTTTCTTCTGGTATATTCAATAGACTTGATTCATTGTTCTCATTAGATTCTTCATTATCTTCAATTGAATTCATTGAATTTGATTCATCATCATTAGATTTACAATTATTTTCTGGTCTGTCCGATAGATTAAATTCATTATTACAATTAGATTCTTCATTATCTTCATTTAAATTCATTGAATTTGACTCATCATTATCACATTTTTCATTTTCTTCTATTATATTCAATAGATCTGATTCATTGTTCCCATTAGATTTTTCATTATCTTCTAGCAGATTAATAGAATTTGATTCATTAGGAGTTACTTTATTACATCTTGGGTCATCATAAAGTAAATTTAACATATTTTTTAATACGTCATTATCAATTTTATGAGTTTTTAAATGCCTTCTTAACAGGAATCTTTGCACAAAACCTTTATTGCATATTGCACAGTGAAAAGGCTTGTCTGTTGTATGGCTAAAATAATGATTTTTAAGGTCATTTTTCATCATGAATCCTTTGTTGCAGATATCACACACATGTGGCCTCTCATTTGTATGCAGAAGGTAATGTTTCTTAAGACTATGCTTTAAAGTAAAGACTTTATGACAAATTTCACATTCATGCTTATTATTCATGTGAATGAAAAAATGCTTTTGAAGGTATCTTCTTTGAGTAAATTCTTTCTGACACACTTCACAAACATAAGATTCTTTATTTTGATGAATCATTAAATGATGCTTCAAACTTTCTTTCCGTGGGAAAGATTTATTACAATATTCACACTCGTAAGTTTTTTCTTTGTTATGAACAACAGCGTGATTTTTTAAGTACTTTTCCACACTAAAAGATTTGCTACAGATATTGCAAACATACGTCTTGTTAGTAGAATGAGTCAAAACGTGATCTCGTAGATTACTTCTCCGTTTAAATGTTTTCTGACAAACATCACAAACAAATGGTCTTTCACTCATATGGATACTTAGATGCCTTTGAAGACAGTATTTGCGAAAAAACTGTTTATCACAAACATCACAGGTATAAATTTCATTTGTTTCTTCTGATTGCTTTGTGTTGATACCCGAATAATTACTTATCCCATTACTTTTATCGTTTATCTCAACATTATCAGGCAACAAACACTCAGGATTATAAATTTCGTTTATTTCTTCTAATTGTTTTGCGCTGATCGCAGGAGAAAATTCCATGTTATGATTATAAGTTCCATTATTATTATCAGGTATTTCAGTATTATCAGGTAATAAACACTCGGAATTATAAATTCCATGATTTGCCCCAGGCGTTTGGATTGGATCTGATAACACACAATCAGGGTTATAAATTTCATTATTATAATCCGTTTGTTCAGAGCTTGACGATGCAGAAATGTCTGCACTTTCAAATCGATTATCAGTAGCAGGTGGCAAAATTTCTGAATAATTATTATCTGTTTGTATGAAAGCCATTGCACGAAAACTATGGCACGTATTCCGTTTCGTAAAGTGAAAAAAACTATATAAATAAGATGATTACATTTAGAGCAGAATGAAAATAAGAAAAAAGAAAAAGCACTATCTAATTAAGTTATAGTCAAATAAAATATTTTCAGCTATAATTATAGTTAGATGATAGTTGAAATTAATTTAATCATTTATGTAATATTTCAAGATTTTATTCTCAGAACCAAAACAACAACAAAGTATAATAAAAAAAATACACTGACAGTTAAAGTTAAAATAAAACTAAAAAGCAATCAAGACATTTTCTCGTTCTATTCATTAGATCGATTTTGAATTTTTAAAAACTTGGTAAATTTCACTAATTTTAGCACGAAGTAAAATTTAAAATCAAAAGAAGAAGAAAAATATTTTTTTTAAAAAATTAAATCAGTTTGATCAATAATACAAATTTAGGTAAAGCGATTCCATGGACGCCCATGAAACAGTTTTGAAGTTTTATGTGTCAATAGTAAAGTTGAGTAGATTGTTGTTTTAATTTATAAGTTGCTTATAAGAGATTTTTAATAAACTCTTGTCTTTTTTCATTCTAATTTTACTATTTTATCGTATTTTTTTCTATAAAGTTTTCAGCATTATTACTTACGTTTTTGTGTTGTTGAAATGGATGATATTACTCATCTAGATGACTCTATGACTGATAATTCAAACTTGGAAGGCAGCCCAGAGGACAGGCTGACATGTAAGGAGGAAAGCTATAAATGTCAATTTTGTGTTCAAAGTTTCACACAGAAACTAGATCTTCAGAGGCACTTGATCACACATACAGTCGAAAGACGATATTTGTGCCCTGTTTGTTATAAAGCATTTGCTCGCAAAGTTCATCTGCGAAACCATTCTGTCTCGCACTTAAAGATAAAACCTTTTTTATGCAATAAATGTCATAAAACATTCACGCGAAAGGAAAGTCTTTTCAAGCATCTTGAAAAGCATGCAAGAGAAAATGTATATACTTGTGAACTATGCAAAGAAACATTTGGAGTAAGACGTTTTCTTGAAGACCATATGCAATATCATGACTGAGACTATTTTTTCTCCACCGATTATTTGGAATATTTCATTACTATTTTGTACAAAGCTGAACAGTCAATGTAATAAATTTTATTTAAACAATAATTTATACCAACAGAAACAAACTGAAACCTACTTATCTGATTGGGAGAAAGCTCTAATACATCTATTATCACAATACCAGTATTACCTTTTCCACAATTATATGAAACTACTATTACTAATAGAACAAATGATTTATGTGATCCTAATAAAAATACACAAATATTCTTAGCAAATGGGTTTAAATTGTTGAGATTCCTTTGAAAAACATATAGATAATGTTAATAATCTAAACTTTCTAATATAAATTGAAAAGCTGAAGTGAAAGAACACTGCTAAGGGAAAAAAAAGTTTTAAAAAAATTGTATTTCTTGATTACAGACTCTTAGGAATTTATTCCAATTTTTTATCATCATTGCTTAAAATTCTACCTAAATTTGAACAATATAACGTTTTTATGTAAAATTTTTGAAGATTTATATGTTTTCAAATTTTGGTATATGTATCTTAGATTTAGCTAAATTTTTTCAAGAATAATCTCTGTCTAACTACACTGGGTTGTAGGAACATTTCGATTTCTGAAGTGTGGCAGATTCACTCTTAAAATACTGCTACTGTGTTTTCTGATATTTGTTTTTGCTTATAAGAATTGCCAAAATGGAGCCATCCTGGCTTTTGTACTTGCATAAGAATAAATAATGGTGTGCTTGGAGGCAAGAAATTGTACCCTTCAAGGTAGTCTTCTTTTTTTTCTTGCCTGACACACATATATGAAGATCTTCTCATTTGTAATTTTTTTTCTGTAGCTATTTCTACAATCTCAATATTTATTTTAAAATATAAATAATTAAAGCTAATATAATGTACAGTACACCAAAAAAAATGGATTGTCCAGAATTACATTTGATCTAATGATTGGATCTTCACGTTCTAGGACTCATTCTTAATGGCTCGTGACGTTGACCTCATATATGCTAATTAATTAGTTCAGACGATATTTTAATTGTGAAATCAAGTAAAAAAAACATACTTTCCCTGAATAAAAACACTTTTTTTTCCATCGGATGGGGATTTCTGAACCCCAAAATATGGTACCCATGAGCGATCCAAAGTCTGGACACCTTAATGTTAATTTTACTTTCTGCGTATTTCGCCATATATCGAGTACTTTTCAAGTGAATTTAAGAAATTTTGTGCATAATTATAAAATTTGTTCATAAAGATAATTTATTCATAGAATAAATTTTAGCAAATCTTTATTATTTTATAAAATAATGGTAAAAAACATTTTGAATTGGGAGGTATACAATTTTTTACATCATTGTAAAGTATGTAATTTTACGTAGCAAAATATGAAATTGGAGGGAATTCGGTTGAATAGTTCCTGAGAAATCAAATTTTTTAAATGTTGTATACTTAAAATTTGATTTCTCAGGAACTATTCAACCGATTTCCTTCAAATTTTGTATTTTGCCATGCAAAATTATATACTTTAAAATGATATAAAAAATTTTATACCTTATAATTAAAAAATTTTTTACTATTATTTTATAAAATAATAATTGTCTGCAGTAATTAATTAGCATATTTGAAATTACTCCCACAAACAATTAAGAATGAGTCCTAGAACGTGAAGATCCGATCAGTAGATTGGAAGTTATTCAGGGTGGTCCTTTTTATTTTGGTGCACTGTGCAATATATATATATATAATATGATGTATTTACAATGTATACTTAATTTGATGTATTTCATAACAAACATTAAAGATATGATATTTGTTTATTGACTAATTATTTCCTATTAATATTTTTCTCATAGAAAAAAATATATATTTATATTTTTTTAACTATTGCCTTTTCTACCCTTGTGTTTATATTTTCAGGAATAAGTTGCAAATGACAGAAAATATAACACTTTTTTCAAATATTTTTAGCTTGAGTTTTAAGTTTCTCAATTGAATTATTGTATTCATATTTTATATTTAAAAAAAAAAAATCATGCATGCTTTGTAATATAAAAAAAAATTTTGTTGTTTATATTATAAAAGAATAATAAATTTTAGATTATGGAACTTAAAGAAAAATATAGTGTTCAATACTTTTTTATTCTAATGTTATGAATATTGATTGGTTTAATAAGCTTATTTTCATACATATGTTTTATAGCTATGAGATCAATTTGCAATTTAACTAAACTGTTGCCCAATTCATGTAACTATGATTTACAATGAAAATTTCTTACAGTACAACTGAACGGTTGCTTTGTTGTAATAGTAAGAAATAAAAGGAGAGGGAGAGATAACAAGTGTTACAAGGAGAATCAAATAGCTTTCTTTATTACATTACAAATTAATTAATATCAACATAAATATCATGTTGGATATATTTTTTGATTACGATAATTGACTTACAGTTGCAAAAAAGAAGATATTCATAGATTCATTCAGAAGATATTCATTCTATTCAGAAGATATTCAAGAGATTCATAGAGTAAAAAATGTCAACTGTTACAAGTAGAAACCTTAATCAATGAAAAATTATAGATTCATTTAAAAAAACTTAATCATTAAATATGAAGCTAATCAGTTGAAAATTAAGATTTTTGAAAATATGAAATACATTGTTTTGAATGAGGAAAAAATAAAGAAAATATGCATTTTTGTTATTTCTATGAGTGTTGTCTTGCTTTAAAATTAAAATTATGAAAATAGATTTTACAAAATTTAAACTTTATCTATACTTTTGACATTGCTACAAATACGTTTAAGAAGTATAATTAAGTTAACTGAAATATTTATTAAACTTGATCACTGAACGCATATCAAAATTGGCTATCATAGGTATTAATGGTAATGAAGATAATTTGGAAAAAAAAGCTGTTAGATTTTAAGCAGAACATTTTTACTTAATTCAATTGTTTTTTGGATTGATCCCTCAATTTATTTATGCCGTGAATGGTTTTCAAATCTTAAAACATCAGAGCTGTATTAAAAATTTTAAATGCACTAAGTAAGTTGTCATTAACAATTGTAACTTACAATGTGAATCTTAACAATTTTGTATAATGAAATGTTAAGCGTTTTCATTCCCTATGTATTTTTTCTGTTAGAAAATATTTCTTTTCAAAAGGGCATACCTAGAGTTCTGTCGATTTTTACGAATGCATATCACTAACTTTTTTCTAGATGTGTAAAATCAGAGTTTAATTTAAACACATTCATAATATATTTAACCCATTGGCAAAATGGGCTTATTTTGGGTTTTATGGCATGAATACTTTATTTGGACATCATCACACTTTTCAACTGTGTTCAAAAGTAATAGTAAACAGTGTGCATGCATCGTCATTGCATGCTTTGCCAAGATGACCACTGCTGTTTGATAATTTTTTTAGAATACTTTTTATTTTCACCAGCAGTAGTCATTCTTAACATATTAGTAATTTAAAGTATTTTTATGTTATTTTTATTATTAATTTATAATTACTGTTTTGATGGTGATTTTAATTTAAATATGAATAACGAAGAATGAAAAGTATTTTGTGATGTCTTGAAACATGTATATAGCCAAACGGATGGCAAACATCAATTGAGACAGTTTTTGTTGCCCTTGATTTGAAATGTTGTGGTGTTTATCGGAGTCAAACCAGAAAAAAAAATGGGTTTGACCAATGGGTAACCAGTAATCGTAATAAAGCGATCACAATTTAAAGAAAATAATTATTTCCTTCTGCCTCTGAAAAATAATTATCTATATACTCATAAATTGTATAACTGATAAAAATTATTTCCTTCTGCCTCTTATAGTATTTTGATTAAAAACGAAATTTTATAAAAATAATGCTTAACTATTAGATTTCGTATATTGTATGACTTGTATTGTATTTTTCTTTCTGATATGCCATTTGTCAGTTAGGCAATTTTGCATCCAACAAAGCATAGAAATAAAAGTCTATCAAACCACGTAATGCGAAGGACCCTAAAATCTCAGAAATTAGAATAAGTTTTTTGAGAAAATATGATTAGTGTTTCATGATGGTCCAATTAATATAGCACTACCACTGCCTTAACATATAGGCTCATATTTGAAATGCTGCTCTGCTCAATTTAATTATCTGTGTTTGGCAAACAACTTTTTAAATTTTTTATATAAATTCTTATTTGTTTCTGTAAGTTTTAAAGACTTTTGATTTCATTCTTGAATAAAAATATTAATTTAATTCTATTTTAATTTTTTGCTATATTTTAATTAAAAATAGCAAAAATGATAAAAATAAAAAATTTTACCATTATTTTCAGCTTTAACTATTTTTTGATTGAAAGAAATAGGCGACAACGATAAAATAATAGTTAGGCATTTTTTTATTGTATCATTGTTGTTTGTCATCAAGAACTAGAAGGCGGTTGTTGTTGTTGTTACTTTACGTCGCACTAGAGCTGCACAATGGGCTATTGGCGACGGTCTGGGAAACATCCCGGAGGATGATCCGAAGACATGTCATCACAATTTTGATCCTCTGCGGAAGGGATGGCACCCCCGCTTCGGTAGCCCGACGACCTGCGCGCGAAGTCGAGCACTTTACGGTAGCACAGTTTAACGAGGACCAATACCGCACACCCTCGGTCCCTACGCAGACTGATCCAAGTG